AAGGTTAATGACAGGACAATTTTGTGATACTCATAGTGCTAATATAGTCGGAACCAGAAGATACACAAAAGAAGGAATAGAGTGAAGTACAAAAAAAGTAAGCCATTGTTAATAATTTAAGTAGCTAAGTATGTTTAAGAAGGTGTTCACCATAGAATACAAATAAGAGAGAAATAAAACGGCCAAAATTATGTTATTAACAACAAAGCGAGTCATAAGTTTCGCGCTTAACGTTGTCTCTGTCACTTAGAACACGGGCTGGCCGAATATGGTATCGTTGAGTTCCTACACTTGATTGTACGAGCATGTATTATTTTGTACTGATTTCTGGTTCTACTTGATGAGATGCAAGGAGAGAGTTGGGAATAGAGGGGTTGAATGGTCTACGAGCACCTCTTGTAATCAGAAGGTCCTGTTTTCAAATCCTGGCGGGTGGGTACTGCCAAAGATTCTGTGCGTGGCACAGTGGTTAGAACTCTAGCCGACCATGCACATGGTCTAGGGTTCGACCCCCTGCCGATGCACACCCGATATCAATGGTCGACCCGCAAAATTTGGGCTACCGATATTCATGCTGAAAATTCCATACTTGTACCAAAAATACGGTGTGGAATCAAGCTGCAATCAAAATAAAGAGAAAAAATAAAGAAGGTTTTATTTTCAAACTCTGGCTGGTTAGTACTGCCAGAGATTCCGAAGGTATGACGAAACAGCTGTCCAGCACTCACAGCTCAAACCGATATCAGGTCATGGCGAAATCCTCCAACCAATCAAAAAAGAAATCCCTACAAACCAATACTTGCAAAATAGTTTCCTAAAACTCTTGACAAATATGCTACTGCAGTTTAAAGATCCCCTTTAAGCCACATAGAAGAAAAGGTGTTCAGCATAGAGTCGTTCTTTGCAGCGATATCATTCTTTTATTTTCTTTTTTTTTATTTTTTGATTACAGCTTGATTCCATACCGTATTTTTGGTACAAGTGTGGAATTTTCAGCGTGGATATCGGTAGCCCAAAATTCGCAGGCCGACCATAGATATCGGGTGTGCGTCGGCGTGGGCTCGAACCCCGGACCATGTGCATGGTCGGCGAGAGTCCTAACCACTGTGCCACCGACGCACAGTCAAATATGTGTAAAGTAAACTCTTCTGACAAAAAAGGAATGTTTCCAAAGGTGTGTCATTAGAAAAATTGTAAGTTCTAGATAACAGTTGCATAATACAGAAGGCGTTAGTCGGGTGGAACTAAAATAAAACTGAACAGGTCATGTAAATGGTGGGACTAAGTATTATTTATTATTATTATTATTATATCCTTTAATTCCTAGAGGAACATAGGGATTCGGCTGCGCATCTCCATTGCCTTCTGTTTTCTGCCGACTTTTTCACCCCACTCCAAGTCTGCCCACATGCTTTCATCTCCTCCTCACATGATCTCCTCCAAGTCACCCTTGGACGACCAACTCGCCGCTTTCCTTTTGAGTTCCATTCGAGGGCTTGTCTAGTGATGTCACTTGATGGTTTCCTCAGAGTATGGCCAGCCAATCCATCTCCATTTCTTCCTGCATATTTGTAAAACTTAACTATATTCAAAGAAATTCAAATTAGGTACAGAGCCCGAGGAGTAGAAATATAACAGTGGAGGGAGAGGAGGGGGAACAGTAGTGTAATTTGGAAAAGGCTAAAGGATTTAAACAAATTAAGTCATTCACATCCTCCTTGACTGAACAAACCTCTCGTCTACTCAGCGTTCACGACTTAACAGGTGGATTGCCATCACCTAGGTGATTTGAAGAAGTTTGATTCGTATTCCTTTTGGAAGATTTCAGCGTATTCTGCAGATGACGCAGAAGGTAGTTTGTGGATTCAGAATCGACCGGGTTTTCCACAACTAAGGTAATGGAGGCTGATCTCTTCTCTCATTTATAAAATCATGAGGGTTATTATTGATATAACTAAGTATTCGATGACACATTTGGGTAAAAAAAAGTCGAATGTGGCCGACATGCTTAGCTCGACAGGAGCAGATGATAGACTTGATAGATATATATACTGATGAGACCAGCAGTGAAAGCTTACTCTCTGCGTTCATGTGAATCACTGGTTTTATACAGAAAGTAAGTCGCCACTCAGATGCAACGGTTTGTATTCAATGATCTGGACAAGTGAATTCTCAGTGGCGTCTTAATTGTTCAGATATCATGGGAATTGTGATGATGCACTCAGAGGAACAATTTCCAGTGAGAATCCCTTTTGCAGTGTTCACCTTGTTTTCTGCGATGTCAGCACTGAAAGTGTTGTATATTCTACGTCTCGAAAAGGGATTTCAAGTTTCGTTTTGTATGTAAAGTTTATTCTGTAGGTGTTTACCCTCCTCATTCTGAAAACATCCTTCTTATTTATCTCCATACGTGATTTATTCGATTTCATCGTTTCTGATTTTTCAAGCATTTGTTTGCGGGGTTTTGGTTAATTTCAGGAGTTTATCGTGAGCTGGCATCTGTAAGAGGAGCATAGGAAAACCTTGGATTACTCGACAGCTGATTCCTCTTAGTTTGGGACTGTTCAACAGTGAGCACCTACCGCCGCGCCAGGGTTCGAACCCGGAACATTCTGGCCACCTCTTGTGCAACGGGTCATATTAATTATTGAATTGAATTTTTGGCTCTCGTGGCCCAAGTGGTCTAGTGGATAACGCTTTGGCCTTTGAAACTATGGGTACTGGGTTCGAGCCCGGTGGGAACATCATCACTCACTGAGAAATGCAGGTACATCCAGCTGACGAGTCCCAAATAGGACGAAATGCGCATCCTGGCTGGATTCCACTGCTAGCCACCATCCACAAATTGTATACTAATTAAATACTCAGACATCGTCGAAGCATCTGCACAAGAAGCCGACATGTCAACCTGAGACCGAGCACTTCGGTCCAATCAATCGACGGGAAAATCAAAAATTCAATTCAAAAGCGGTTACAGTTTATGAGATTAAGATTTGTTCAGTGAGTTGAGATCAGTGAATTAGATGACTAATCAAAATCAAAATTCTGTTACCAAGGGAGTGAGAGGTTAATCACACTCTCTTTCTGTATGCATTAGTCTGATTTAAGTCGTTTGATTGTGATCGCTTCGGCAAATCATAGTAAATTTGCTGTCCTTTGTCTATTTAATATTTTGAAGGACTTATAAATCTCTACGAGATGTACGGTATCAACAATGTGTCTGGTTTTTGCACTCAGGAATATCTGCTTTCTTTCAGGCACAGGTTTTTGGGAATATATATATATAATACTTATAATTCAAAATGAATTAATCTTCAGTTAACATATTTTTTTGCTCAATTATTTAGAATCCTGGACCAGCAGATTATTCCGTCGGCTCCCCTGATGTCTATATGACAGGTGCACCAAAATATACAATGGGAGTTGCAATACCAGATAGGAAATATGCCGACTATCCTGGACCACTGACTTATCGTCCTGAAAGTGTAAGTGAAGTTTACACCTGTATTGATAATAAATTGAATAATATTATTGACAGTGGTTAAATGATTCCACCACATACCAATTTTTCTAGCCTTTTAGTTTCTTATTTCACATTTATGATAATATCTACTATAGTTGCTTTCTAGAAAGACAGCGAAAACTTTGCAAATAAACTATACAATTCAGAGATAGACAAATACACCACATTTGTAGCACTCGATGTGGTGAACCACATTCTAGGAGAACGGTAAGCTACAGTACTTCAACAACTTCAAACAGGTTTCTAGTCGCTTTCGATCAGAAACAACTGTTACAGTTGTTGTTTGATCATCTATCCCGTTAGGTCTGAGATTTAGCTACACTACCTGCTGACTCTTTGGTTTGGCCAGCCTAACCTAGAGTGGTCAATCTGCTCTTAAAATCACCCCAGTCAGAAGAAGTAGGATACAACTCTCTTGGCTACTCAAAGGTATATTTATTAGCGATGAGATGAATAGGTTATGGAGATACACAATCACACCACATTGCCAACGCAAAGGTTTTGTCCACTGAAAATTATATTGACCACTACTTGTTTCTGTCCACATTGATAAACAAACTCATTTTTTGACAGCGAGACATCTGAGGTCCAACTAACTTGGTGAACTCCTGTGATCCCTTACAGTATAATGATTAGTACATACAAGTGTGTATTGGAGAAATGTCATCCCCATTAGTATTTAAGATCCCTAATGTTTTAGGAATAAGATTATATGTCTGAAGCATAGCAATGAAAATGATGAGCCTTTGCAGTACTTCCGTATGAAGAAGGGCGGTCTGAGGCCTTTCTTAGAACTCATTCATGAGATTGTAGTTAGGATGGAATTCAAACCAACCAACTCTCTCAGAGGCAAACTTTGTCGGCTTAAGTACCCCTTCCGCCAAAATATCTAAATAGGAAAATTAATATAATTTTACAAGCAACTCGTAATAAATGTGAGGTGAAACTAGTAGATAGGGGTGAATTAGACTATCGGAATATGAAAGTTTAGCTGAATCTGAAATGATTTACCCTGCCAAGTTAAATAATCTAGAAAAATGTTTGCCGATTGCGGCACCTTTGGTTGCTTGAAATCTCACAATGTTGGCAGCATAGGGCGAAGGTATTATGAGGCAATATAGTTAGGACGAGAGAGAGATGTTGAACACTAAATCTTTGTCCGTCGAATAAACGCCAAACACGTGAAATTGAGGTGGCGCAGCGGGTATACTGAATACATGAGAAATCGCGACAGATAACGAGGGGGAAGAAAGACAGAAATGTTTATTAGGCAAATTATGAAGTCAGGTGGGTATGCTGATATGATTATAAGCAATAATTTGTGTTTGAAATGTCATCCACTAATTATTACTGTATCACTCACTGTATGTTATATCAAATACACTTTCACAATGTGAGATTACACCCCACCAATGTGCCCAAATTCTACATTTGCATTATTAAAACGGTTGCGTATTTGATTCAGAGAATTCCGAGGAGTGAATTATCACTGGACAAATGCCCAAAAGATATTAGCAAATTTATACGCACTAAAAAGATTGACCGTGTCCGAATTTTTCTTCTCCCGTTGTTCAATGTAAGGCAGTGAATTGGAGGTGTTGTTCAGTTAACATAATCATCAGAATAAAAAGTACAGCAGTGAGGATACTGACCACTTGCCATGAGTCAGAATGTGAACACATATAATTTATTTTTTTACGTATTTTTTTCCTTCACGTTCCCCATAGGAATATAGGGCTTCAAGCTAGAGGCTTGAAGTTTCCATAGCAGTGGTGATTATTTTTACAAAATGGGGTTGCTAGCCTCATGCCCAACCTTTCCTCTTTACCAGCATTATTTTTGGCTTAGCGAGGTAAGGGAGTTCGTCGACCGGGGATCGAACCCCGGACCATGTGCATGGTCGGCGAGCGTCCTAACCGCTGTGCCATCGACGCTGAACACATATAGGAAAACAAATACTCAAATGGTAATTCCATATTAGTTTTTTCATTAGATATATTACACAGTGAAACAGTATTATTTACTGGATGACATTTCGAACAAAATTTATTGTTCATATCACATCAATACCCAATTGGTATTTGTTAACTTACGTTATTTTTGGTGCAGAAGTAAAAGATACCTATAATGGTGACAGGGTGTCGGGCTTTATTTGTTTCTCCTCACAACTACGAATAATATGAGTGAACAGAATTAAGAATTTCTTCTGAAATAATATCTAGAATACTAAAAGCATTTGGAATAGATGTGGCACTGAAATGAGCAAACCAACTGTTTGGCTCGGCAACCACTTAGATCTGGTCGGTCAACACTATCATAGATTTGTACAAGCAGGTACTACCAACTACCCACATTCATCAGTATTATATATACCATCATACGATACTGCTTCAAATTCGAATCCTACCTCGTTTGGAGTGAAAACATCAAAAATGTCAGGAAATTCCTAGAAACGTGGTACTCAGATGAACCAGCGACTAATGGATACATTAATAAAGATCAAATTTATCGTCAGGGTAACAGAAAATCATATTCCGGGTCAATAAAGACAGTAAATACTAGTGCAGATTAGTGAGCAGCCATGACAAAGACTGTTGGGAGATAGAATTAAGTCATCCATGGAGTACTCAGATAACTTTGCTTACACTGGGGGTGTCTGGAAGGATAAGGAAGGGTTCTCAGTTAAGTCACACAGCTCACAGGGCTCAACCACACCAGAAACATAAGCAGACTACACCATTTTAGTTACGAGTGCCTTAATAGAATTATTTCTGTGTAACATAATCACAAAGAGCGTGTAGTACTGAGTTTAAATGCGTAGTTGCAGGTAAGTTGCGGACACCACTTCATTTGACTATGCGACAGTTGAAATGGTTGGAATAGGTGGTACTCATTGTAAACTTTCTTCATTCGAGAAAGATGAAGTTTGAGTTAATTTTGAATGAGATCAAATTAAGCATAGGGTTAGTTAGTCAGTTAGTTAGCTAGAAATACGACACAAAAGAAGAATACTCTCTAGCTTATGATTCTAGTAGCGTAGAGAGAGAAAGAGGGAGAAAGGGGTGCATTTCGCCTTGTTGTGTTTCTTCAACTGGCAAAATTGGTGGAATTAATATGGATGATGATTGGTTTCACTAATGAATCCTACACAGGCTCTGATGCATTGAAAAGTCGTTAATTTGTGTGAAACAGAACGAACACGGAAATACGTTGTATGCACAAATCACTTTCTCTGACAGAGCGTTCACGGATTACTTAAGACCAATGGTATGTTCACATCGAGATTACACAAACTGACAAAAGTGCACTAAAATGCTTTGTCACTTCAACTAGTGCTGGATGAGTTGAATTCCTCATATCATTCGTTAGCCAAACGGTTGGTCACACCCTTACCACCTCTACATACACAATCCAGAAAACATACTGCGTAAAATCCCCTTGGAATTTCATTGGATTATTGAAAGGACAAAAGGTTGAAATGTTAACAATAAATTCATGAAATCGTATTTATTCTGTATTTACTAATGCATCATTGATGGAAATGGCTGATTTTATCTGTTAAGAGTTTACTAGACGAAATATCGATCTCGGCATTCTAATATCTTTAGTGAAGGAGCTTTCTTTGATATGTGAAACTATACACACATATTGATGGTGTGATCATGGGGTTACCACTCAGGACCCATTCTAGCTGACAATTTCGTTACAGAATTAGATATTGGGCCTTTGAAGTATGTGGTCGGTGAACTAGAATCCTGTTTCTACTATGAAAAATAAAAATGAAGCCAAAAATATCCTTGAAAAGTTTAAGGATGCTCATCTTACAGTAAATGTTTGCCATCTAGAAAGAAAGAAATTGCATCATTTCATTTCTAGACGTCTTTATGACTAAAAGAGAGGACGGTGCAATAAGTAAGGAAATATTGATTAATTGTCTTAGGAGCACACCTCCTACAGCTTTCAGTTTCCTTCACAATGTAACAAATCCTTAGTTTTAAGTAACCTAAGAGAAACTCAGCGAAAAACATAAAGACGAATTGGCCGAATGTGGGAGTTAACAGTTTCTAGAGGTTGTCGCTGATTAACATCAGTTTATTGTAATTTTCTAACGTGGAAGGTTTGACAGAATACGGAATAATCAGGATGTGGATAGACCAGGTAAGATTGCAAGAAAGACGTTATCTAAGGCATATAACAATCCGTTTAGTTTCAAATCTAATGGCCTCCATGAGACAAGCATTATATATGTGATATTCTATGTTGTATTTCTTGTCACTTTCAGTGCCAGTCACATTTACCAAATATACCGAAATTCACAATGGGAATAAAGCATAGTCCGTACAAAGGTGAATTCGCTATTAAATACAATGATGAGTTCTAAGTCGGAGTACCTGCTCTAATCTAACGCAGAAAGCGAATTTTCAACTGAAAATGTTTTCAGGTGAAAACAAGAAAGGCAAGAAAACGATCATGTTCTTCTCAAAAGCCCCATCTTTATTAGTTTTCATTTTTTGTTATCAATCTTAATTCTTTTAAAAGATGTCTTTTGGTTTTTAAAATGTGAGCGTAAAAGTGACCTTGGAATGTTCAACGCAGATTGAACATAAACATTAGAAACACTTTTATTGAAAAAGGGAGAAAAATCCTTAAAAGTTTTTAATACTTTCTAAAATGAAATCTGTGCCGGTTTGAAGTTTATTTTACCTTAAATAATAACAATAAAAGTAAAATATACACACTCAAACAAATTGATTTTATATTGAATTATTTTCCCATTACTAACTACTTTATGGGCTCTAAAACCTAAAGGGAATTTCAAACGGTTTGTGTTGTCGTCATGTCTTGGGTTATTGACTCCTCGCATTAGGCATAAGTAGCAACTGAACATTGACAAAGCTGTTTAAATTCGATAGTGAAGTTCATATTGGCCCTAGGTTACTTTAGACAAATGAAAGAAGAAAGTCGTTATAATTTACTAGTTATCGAATATGTTTCACATGATTTTGAAGGAGACATCGACTATTAAAGTTAGGTTGCGTCGGTGGCACAATGGTTAGGGCTCTCGCCGACCATGCACATGGTCCGGGGTTCGAGCCCACGCCGACGCAGACCTGATATCTATGGTCGGCCTGGGAATTTCGGCTACCGATATCCACGCTGAAAATTCCACACTTGTACCAAAAATACGGTGTGGAATCAAGCTGTAATCAAAAATAAAAAAATAAAATTAAAAAAATAAGGTTATCGCTAGAAGGTCGTCTTGCACATCTGATATAATTTGATGGACAATTCCCATTCCCAACTCATCTGCTCCCGTAAATTCCCAGCACTTCTGTACCAAATCTTCTCATTTCTTTTGTAATCTGGGCACCAGTCTCCACCAAAGAGGGAAATTTAGAAGGACTCACCACCTACATCTGCATAGACAGTGAAATTTCACACGGGAGCAGTACAGATAAGGATGTTAAAGGTATTCTGAATCGGAAAAACAAGATAGACCTTAATTAACTTGATATCACGATGGAAATCTACTGCACAAAGCCGGAAAAACAAGGTCTTGATCTTCAACGCTAATATGCAATCAATTCTTCGATATGGTTTAGAGACACTGAGCTCGTCAGAAAAAGCTTCCACACTGCGTTACTTCAGACTGCATTTCTCTGACTCCATACTGATGATTAGATGGTCAATCAGAAAAGATAAGTTATGAGGAACTTTGGTAATGAACTAAACAGAGATCCGTTGTCCAAAATATACGCCACGAAAAATGAGGAAGGATTGTATGCACCTTGAGAAGATTACGGAGTGATATCACACGCTAGGAAATCCCATGGGGTGGAATCAGAGGGTGATATTGAAGAGACTGTGAGAAGAGGAAGTAAAACCTAAAGTGTAATTGTGAATTCAGGTGGGAAATAATTTGGAAAACATGTTGGAATGGGGATATGCTGCTGAAAACTTAAGTTTCAATCAGAACCCAAGAGAGTGATAAATATCAATATAGCAACAACTTGTATTGGTTGTCGACAAGAATTGTACACACTCCATTAAATACTGGTGAAACTTCTGAGCTAGAATTTCATAAAGGGCATTTTAATCCTTGTAATTCATTGCATCTAGAAATTTGCCAGCGTCTTCAATAAATACTTTCGCTTTTCACGAGACTATATACTACTTATTGACTGAGTGAATGTATACTACTCATATCAACCAGTAGAGCTTGATAATCAAGTAGGAGTGATCAAAACACCGGAAAAGTCATTTCTCTTGTTTAAGGTGAGCTTGTATCCCGTTTGATTTAGCTCAAGGAGCCGAATTACATCAAATCATTCTAATTCTGGCTATCTGCATGGATGACCTGCGTAAATTGTAAATCGACAGTTTATTTATGAATTGCGAAACTCGTTTCAACGTATTACCTATTCCCTCAAGTAACGAAGCTAAACGGAATTAGAGTGGTTTGAATTCATTTGGCTGTCTGAGCTAAATCATTCCAAGAACAGCATTGATGAGCTTCACTACAGACAAGTAAAATAACCATCGCGTGTTTAGACCACTTCATTTTGGCTGTCTACCCCTAATGTTTGGTATGAAAGGTATCCAACTACTTATATCAAGAGATCAATAGTATATAACATGAAGTAGTTGTGTTTGTTTTGACATTCAGCTCTTTAAGTTTTCTTCATATAGACTTTATCAAAATTGATATTTCGAGTTATATGAAGATATTATCCTGATAAACACACAAGTATGCTGAATTTCAGATTCAGCAGCCTCCACGTACCACAAAATAAAGTCTCAATCATCCGATAACACTGAATAATTCATAAACATGGAGTTCTAAAACTTAGAAGACAAAAGGAATGAGACTAGACCCCCATTGATGATTCTGTTCTAATGTATGTGGCATTTTTAATACAATACAAAAAAGGGTTTATCCACCTAGAAGTGATAAGTTTGTTAACGGTTTTTGGGCAGTCTTAATGCGCCAAGCGGTGATAATACAACAGTGGAAGGGTAGAAATAATTTCAAAAGTTGAACAAGTGGATTGCGTAATGCATAATCCTGGAAAGATAAGGGGTAATTATGAAGTAAATGAGAATTCGAATCGACTACGTAATAAGCAGTTAACGATGAAGTAGTCAGAATAATAAAATAATTGGGACGATGGTAACTTATAGAAAGAAGGCTTAGGGGGAGAAAGAAATTGTCAGTCTTTCACATTCATGTAACGATCGCCAAGGTGATGAAAGTGACTGAACTAACTTCTTCTGAACTCGATAGGATCGACGCCAACTTAAGAAGGACGCATAGCACATAATTAAACCAGCACACTGAATAATGAGACGAGAGCTCATAATTATGCAATGCATATTTCTCCAAACACAGGAATACTATACTCTCTGTGTAGAATTTGTTTCTTCACACTATAGATGATGTTCATCTGTCTGTGTAATCGACGGTCGATAATACTGTTGTATGGAAATGGACACGCAGAACTCATTGAAGCCTTCGCCGTTTGGATTTTAATCATAAGTCTTTTCGTACAAACGTATAGCTGCTTCCATTCAGACAAGTACAGACCTGTTGAAATTTGATAAAATAAATAAAACATGGCAAGTGGTTAAGTGTTATGTTTTCCTGATTTGAGGTGGGTTGTCGATTCCAAAGAGATTCCCAATATCCTTGCACTGTAAAACATGATTGTATGGAATGTTTAATCGAAACTGAGGATTCGAAATATTAAGGACAATCGCTACTGATAATTAATTGTCTCTGAGTTAAATCAAGACATGAGGAAAGTCACGTGTTCGTCGACGATACTGATTAATTTCCACAATCATATCACGTATTTGTGAAAGGAGGAATTCATGGTCCATTAAATCAGGTCAAATTCGCTCCATGTTCTAAGAACTTGTCTTGTAACTGGAAGGTGCTGAGGTCGAAAATTGACGAATCTGTACTACTGATTAGTCTCAAGCTAGGACAAAACGCTTCCATTAGGTATTCTTTGGATTTCAACTCTTTTCTAACTAATATCATTAGTATTATTAATACTATGTAATACAAACACCATTCGGATACATAGTGCAGCAATGTTAAGCGTATCAAATTGGGGAATATTCCCTCTTCATACAGGACTAACTTTAACACCAATGATCGTAAGTAAATCATGGGACATAGGATTTTCTCATGTGAATAGAGAACCAATTCGCTAAGTTTTCTTTCCATTCTTGCATTCACGCCAGACTGATTTTGATTGTGAACAATAGTTTGTGCTCGAAACTTTATCAGTTAATGTTACTTTATAACACTGTGTGATTGATCAAAATAAAATCTTATCCATAAAGGAGTTATGATCTGCCACTGTGATCAAGTTTTATACTCACATCAGCGAGGGAACCAGTGAAAACGAGCCGAGAGTACTGAATAGCTGTTTCTCTTGTCGTACTCTTTTACTTATCGGTAACAGGACGAAGATATCTGGAATTTTAGTGAGAGGTCGTGACTACAGGGGTCGGTGCAGCTGGTAGAGAGGATGGAGTTCCCACCGATGTTATTGGTCGATGGTCGAGTTAAAATCACGAGTTGATAGAGGTTAGAATTCACAGGTTGACCATTGAGTCAGGTCGTAGTGGTTGATTGATCTACAAGCTTGCCTTGTAGCCAGAGGTTCTTGAGTTCGAATTCCTATCATCGTAGAATTCTAATTTCCTTAATCCTCAGTTTCTAAATTTTGCCCAAAAAGGAAACCAGAAGCTTCTCTACCATCAACACAATTCAATCCAGATCAGCTATAACAACATCTCTATTATTTGAAAATCAAATAAACTGGTTATTTTAAGTGATCACTGTCCTACCATTCATGATCTTCGAACTCGAAATACTCAACATAATCGAGTCATGATACTGCCTCACAATTATTATGTTTAATTATGACACTGTGCCCTACATCGACATTTTACTTTAATGTATGAAAAACTCTCAGAAACAAAGTGCACATTTCAAAATTGTAACAAAATTCCCTGAATTTCAAATGTGATAAAACTCAAATACACAATGGACTATGATCAATGGAAAACGCTGAAATCACGGCATAGATGACTATCATCATCAAAGTGAGTAGATGTGAGAAAATCATGTGAATGCTTCATAACGCGTACATTTGAATCCAAGCGTTAGTGCATTTAAGTGAAGTACTGCCGTACTCCTCATTTGAATGGCAATTGCCTTTACTTTATGACGCGTAGTGAGTTCTCAGTAACAGATGTATTGTGATTATGCTTCACCCACTTCACACACTGTCCACGGATATTTTAGTTGAGAAGAATCTACAAATTTTGATATCTACATCTCCTTCGACATCATTTTCGGAGATTTCCAGTGTTCCTTTAATTAGACAGTCCCATCGATATTGGATGATGTATCCCATTTCGTTGTAGAATGATTCTGTCGATTATAGTTTCGCTCTACACTGTTTAAGGTTTGAACTTGAATTCTGTCTGGTCTGTTTACAGCTTCTTCTTCTTCGACTTCTTTCAACTTCACATTGCA